AGAAAATTATACAATATTTTATAACCCTTCTCCCCAGAGCAGGCGTCTAGATCCTTGTACATTTATGAGCTATAGAACTTCCCTGTGCCTCCCACATTCCCAAGCCCCTGTGACTGAGTGGACACAGAATCAGTTCTGGGTGGTGGGCTGTGGTCAGAGTGGCCCTGGGTCATTTTGGCAACACCCATGAGCCATTGTGCTGGTCTCATGGCCAACGTCACCCAGGAGCTTTGAAAAAGGACACTAGCCTGGGCTGAGGGATGGCACAGACCAAAGCCCCTTAGACCCTTACTGGCCAGGTGACCTGGGCAAGAAGTAAACCTCGTTATGGCCCCTGAGATGCCTTGATTTGTTACCTCCTTTGTCCCCCATGAGAAATACATGGAACAGCCACTCATCTATGAAACGCACGATTGACTAGCTTGTCTCTAATTCCTTGCTAGCTCTTCGGGCTGAGCTGTGTCCCCCACAACCCACATGTTGAGGCCCTAACCCCCAGAACCCTCAGAGTGTGACCCTGTTTGGGATACAGCATTAAGTGAGGTCATGAAGGTTAAATGAGGTGACCACAGTGTGGCCACCGTCTACAAGGGACAGAGGCCTAAGCAGACACCAATCCTGCCATTGCTGCCCGCCTGTGACAAATAAAATTCTGCCACGCGAGCTGCCCAACCTATGGACCTTCATCCCAGCAGAAGACCGATACGTTAGCCCTCTTACTCTAAATTTGATCTTGGGTGTGCACAACCAGAGCAGAAAGTCTTTGAAGAAGACTCACAAAATAGGGGGAGAAATGACATGGTCTCCTCCTTTTAAGGGGTTCTTTATTAGCAATAGAATAAAACATTCACAAGAGCAGATCCTATTTTTTCTTTCTAGGCAAAATTTGACTTTGCTAGCATTTCAGTGGAGAATTTATAATGGAATTTCAGAGAGGGTACATCTCTCATGGGAAGAAACACACTTTCTCTGGGGGTGTGCCCTTGGGGGGTGACCAGAATTCAGCCCTACAAAATTTATACACATGGGTTGCATTTATTATGATTTGCTCACTATCCTGAATCTTCCTGTATACCCACATGAGACTGAGATTCAAAGTCAAGATTTGCAGGAGGAACTGGGGGCAAATCAGACCAAAGGGCGCTTGTGGAGCAGCGGGCTGATGGCAGCCTGAATGCAGGGGTAGAGAGGTCAGGAATGACTACCACAGACAAAAGCTGCGAGCTGGCTGGCAGATGCTGAGTAACTACCTCTGCTCCGCTCTTCCTCCCACATCCTGCACACGCCCTGCCGCCCTGCTCATCATTCAGGGCACCTGGCTACATGAGTCTGCCCATGACTCAAGATTCTCTGTAACCGCTGAGCAGCCGCTGGGACTGAACCAGCGGGACCACACATCAGCATCACTCCTGGGGTCTGTCTCCAAAGTCTAGCCCAGTGGTTCACCGCTTTGCTCACTGGTTTCTTGCTCTTTGATGTCTTGTTTCCTCCTTTATTCCTCTTGTAGTTCTCTCCCTATCCCCTTGTGGTGGTTCTAACTGCATCTCCTTAAGTCCTAACCCCAGCAGGCTGTGGATGTGACATTATTGGGAAGTCATTTTTCGGATGAAGATGAGGTTGTGCTGCATTGGTGTGGAGTCCAGAGACACAGGAGGGGCCTCTTCCAGGGAAGATGGCCTGTGATATTGGAGGCAGAGACCAGAGCAAGTGATACCAGGATTCCAAGCCACTGGCAGGAGCCAACAGAAGCTATATGAGGGCACTTTCTCCAGAGCCTCTGAGGGAAGTGGACCTCGGGGGACCATCAGTTCTGACTTCTGCCCTCCAGGCTCTGAAAAAATACACTGATTTTGTTTAAATCACTCTGTTGGTGGCCATTGCTTACCACAGCCCCAGGAAACTGATATAAACTTTTCTTCCCTTCAGTTCCTTCTGGTGATAAGGAAGAATTTAGCATCAGCGGTGCCAACAGGTACAGATAAAGAAAAAAAAAAAAAAGACACAGACACAACAATAAATGGAGGGTGTATGATGTGGAATGCTATGAAAACCCAATTTTTTCTCTCACCAAAGGGACATAACACTGTATAGTTAATCTTACATGGAATTATTCTGACAAAGTGACTTCTCCATGATATACTGCATTCTATATTGGAAAGAGAAATGTACGTTTTGCTTGCCATTGGCCAAAACCAACTTTGAAAAAGTTCCACTTATTCTAGCCTCTTTTTCTCTTAGCACTCTCAGACTTGTGACAACATTGAAACGACACCTCCAGGAATAAATCCTGCATTTATCCTCCCAGATACCCACCCTGTTGAAATCGTGCCTCGGAACCGTGTTCTCCAGGGGGGAGTGGTTTCCTCCCATTTGGCCTCTGTGTCTGAGTGGGGCCAAGATTCAAAGTCCGGAGTCGCAGGACGGAGTCACACTATCCATTCGCTGAAAGGAGGTAGAAGGTGATAATTTGTTGGAAAGCAAAACAGAACTTTTTTCAACTTCCCATTCATGTGGGAGCTGAGGAACTATGAGAAAACAGATGTTTATGTTTTCTTTCCTACTTTATGTGCTTTCTATCGTCCCCAAGCTGTATCACACCAAGCCCTGGGCAAGTGGCCTTGGGAACTGAAACGGTTCTGGAAAGAGAAGGGCCCAGACACTGTGGTACACATGTTGTGCTAAATCAGCGTCCCTCCAACATGAAACTCTTAATTGCCTTCATGAAATAGCTTTCATCTTTTGAAAATCTTTGCAGTACAATGATGCAATTGTGCAATTGCATGCTACTTTGTTTTTTTCTAGAAAGATCTCAACACCACAGCACCCTTTTACCAGATTCATAAATCCTAAGTCATTTTGGCGGAGTAGGAAACATGGAAACAGAAAGGCAGAGTGGCGTTGAAATATTTAAAGGCTGCTCTGAACCATTCCAAATCTGGTATTTTTAGAGCAAAGTTCTAGAAATATGACTCTGTAATAATTCATAAGCAAATCAGCTCTCTGCCAAGATGGGAGCCAGAGATCAGTCATGGAGTTGGAAACCATGGAATAAACACCATCCCAGGAGCTCAGTCCCAGGTGCAAATCACTCTGCTGTGGTCAGCCTGGTTCAGGCCTAGATGGGTGAGTTCTGCCAGACTCCCGGTTAGGAGCTGGGGATGTGGAGGGACTGCTCCACAGCCGAATGGCTCCTGACAACCCCCTGCCCCATCACCTTCTCCACAGTCTCCCAGGGAGACTTCCCTGACCTGTCTCCATCTCAGCATGGCTTCTCAGAGGACCAGTCCCTGCACTACACTGGCTGAGACCCGGAGAACCTCCAGGCGAAGATGATGATGGGAAATGGTTTTGGCTGAGCCGATGTATAAACGGAAGTGCATCCTGGTAGCGGTGGGGGCGGGGGAGTCAAGAAGGCAAGCGGACCCACCACTGCTGTGTATTGAGAGATCAGAAAGTGGACTTGTCCTGGACGGAAAGGCTGTGGGTACTGTGGCTGCATTCACAGATACCTCAGGTCTCCTCTAGGCCACTTTGGATTCTGATGGGCTAGGATGCCCCTGAGGCTATGTGCAGTGAAGGGCTTAAGAGTGAGCTGCATGGTGAAGCTCTGTGCTTGTCCCATGCCCTCAGGGTGAGATTCTGTTTCTAAATAAAAATCAGGGGATGGCAACTGCAGATGGAGCTCTGTGCAAAGGCCCTGGAGTCCATCTCGAGTACTGGAAAAACATAAAAAACCACTGGACTCAGGATACATGGAGAGACTGCTCAGCAGAACTCAGAAAGAAGCCTAAAGCTGCCGCCCATACTCAGGGAGTCACTGCGGTGCATTAGCACAGACACTTCCATGCTTATTAACTTTTACTTTCCAGTTTCCTTGTAGCATCACCTCTCTCTGTCTTTGGGTAGGAGAATGACGAGACATCCCATCCCCATCTGTGACACATGACAGAGAAGCACCCTGGCTGTGTCAGCCCCTTGGCAACTCTGGCGGGGAAACCCGTTCTGCCCATTTTCAAGATTAACAAAGAGGCAGTGCCTTGTCGCTCATTTGTGCATCTCAAGTGCTGCTTACCTTTGCCCCTTGACCCCATGCACCCCTGCCCGATGCCCTGGATCCTGCCTTGGACTTTGACCTCAGTTTCCATGCTTTGATAATCTTCACACACAGACCTCACCTAGGGAGCCCTTGAGTCCCCTTCGGTCCCCAAAACCCACCCAGGCACACATTCTAGGCTGATTCCAAGGCCCTGTCCCACTCCCTGAACCCTGCATCCCTGGTTCTCAAGAAGGAACTGTTTTACTCTCGTGAAATGCAAAGCACCAGGGGGCCTTTCCTCCAAGCAGAAATCCAGTGAATTCCAGACCACTTTTGTAGCCTGATTCCCAATGGCCGGCCAAGGTATTTCCATTTTCCTATTGAACATCCTAGTGTCTCTCCTATGAACAACGGGTGGGTGTGTGTGGGAGTGATGGGTGAGAAGGTCTCACTGCGCCCTAGGGCCAGATGCTCTTCTCCAGCCTCAGCATCCTTCTTGGGAGAAAGGCTCTGGTTAATTTCACTACGCAGCCTCATTTGTGATGCAGCGTTGGCAGGCGAGACACATGATGGGACTCTCGGGGACTCCGTGAGTGTCTAGGATTTTATAAGGTGAGAGGAGCACAGACCAGCTCCATGGGGCAGGGACTGGCTTGTTTGATCACTCACTCCTGCTGATGCAAGAGGTGGAGACTGTGAGGCCTGGACATGGTCTTGAGGGTCACAATCCCTGTCATTCCAAGGGAGCCCCCAGCATGGCAGTTGGCCCCCAGTTTAGGGCACACCCCCCTAAATTCCTTTAATCCTCCCTGCCTGCTAAGGGGGTCAAGGGCCTGGCTTCCTAGGGAAGCTCATGATCTACTATCGACTTCTGTGTCTGTTTCAAATTTTTAAATATTAAAAGTAGAGCAAACTCTTTGAAATTCCCAAGGAAAAAAGAGAGAGAAAAATTACCTACATGGTCCAGCACTTAAAACCAACTAGCCATTGGCATTTTCCTGTATCCTCAGCAGTCAGTGGTAGATGCATAATTCTAAAAATGCAGGTGCCTTGGCACAGGGTACACAGCTCTGCACCCAGACTTTGTCACATCATATCATGGTAGGAACCTGTAGGACAGTGACAGAGCACACGGCTGCACCAGTGCTGATCTGCAGAGAATAAGTTTACTGAAGAATACAGGGCAAAGGAATTGAGGACTTGAGGGACATGGTTTTGTGTGTGTGTGTGTGTGTGTGTGTGTGTGTACACGCGCAAGTGTGTGGTGCTGGGCATTAAACCCAGGGCCCCTCACCTGTGAAGTAAGTGGCCTGTTACATCCACAGTCCACAGTTTGTATTTTTAACAAAGCCTTTGACAGTCTCACCCCAGACAACCTTCCCAGTCCTGTCCTCTGCATGTCTGATCCACTCTGCAGTCCCCAATGTGACCCCTGGCCCCAGGACTGGGCAGTGTGCTGAGGGTTAGACCCAAAGTCACCTCATGTGATTCCAGGTGAATACTGAGCTCTGTTTTCAGAGCTCCCCACATTCATCCCAGCCTCAGGTCCTGTCCCCAGCACAGAGGCCAGGAGTAAGCCACCTGCATAGACAGAGCTCACCACCTTGGGCTCTGGGCCTTCGGACCTCAACCCACACTTGCAGCCCAGCTCATGCTTGAATTCGGTTGTTGCTGTGCCTTGCCCAGCACCCAGTACCTCTGCCTCACACCCCTGTTTGTCCCTCTTTAAGCTCATCTCCACACAGACAGCTTGTCCATATTATATTCTAGAATATTCCTCAGGTGTCACAGGGGTTGTGATCCCTAGGGGCCCTGACTCTTGTCCTAGAGAGAGAGAAGGGCTACCAGGTGTTCTCAGAAGCAGTACTTTGGAATGGCTTCACCTTGTCAGTCAAGTGCCTCAAGGCCACCAACCTCCTGACACCCCCATGGCTTCCCTGTACATTCCTAAGAAAGGAAGTCAGCTGATTTCACCAGAAAGAGCTGATTCATTCTGTGGTTTTGGCATGATTTTCCAGATTCCTCTTATTAAAACCACCCTTTAGAATGAAGCACAGTCTTGCCAAGTCTTGCGTGCTCCCCGGGTTCTGCACACAGGCCCCTCACAGGTGCCAACAAGCTCTCCTCTCATCCACACCTCATCGCCAGTCCTGTCATGCATGGGCCATCAGGGAGGCTTACTCAGATCCCCAGAGTGTGGGACGTGAGCCCTGGGAGGGACTCACCTGGTCGTTGTGTTGAGGGTGGCCGGGAAGGGGGAGTGAACCATTGCTGGGCTCCAAGAACATGAACCAAGTGGGTGGGATGTGGTGGCCTTGTGACTCCAGGGATCTGCAGGAGCCTGAAGGGCTGGAGCAACAGGAAAGGGAAGGACAGTAAACCTAAGACCGACCAACCTTTCCTTTCCTGTCTTTGTTCCAAATGCATGGAAATGAGGACAGGAGAGCAGAAGGGGGTTTTGGCGTGGAGGACACATGGAGTTCCTTCTTGGGTCCAGCAGCAAGCTGGAGCCGCCCAGGATGATGCAAGGCAGGGTCAGCCACAGTCACACCTCAGTTTTCTCTGAACCTTGCCCATGCACTAGGGGCTTGTCGGTCTCTCTCCTGTGCACTCAAGTGAAAAATGACCCAGGAAGGCTTTCCAAGCATTCGCCAAGGGAGTAGGAAGCTTTAGAAAAAACTCCAGCTCAAGGGTACCTCAGTGTGTTCTTACCAAGCTGTGAACAGCAGTGACAGTTTCCCGGCTTCCCAAGGAGAGCAGCAAAGGACTCCAGCTTCCTCTTTCCACGGGTTAGTTAAGTATTCCACGTGGACCAGGCCTCAGACTCAAAGTAAAAGGAAACAGAGATGGCGGGCATGTTTGTTCCCCTAGTGTTAGCATAAAATGGATGAAAGGTAGCAGCTTTCACCTCGTGGCCCTTCTGTTCATCCAAGTAGCTCTTTCCATAGTTCAGACTAAATTATAATTGCTATGGTTCATCTGCTCATTGGAAGAATTCATGAAAACGGTGGCATATTTATGTTTCAGTTGTAACCCGAACAGTTGTTTCATTGAATTTATTGGAGAAGAGGAAACAGGGAGAATAAACTGTAATTTTATGATTAATTGCTGAAAATGGTTAGAAGTTTATTTCCCTGCTCCTGCATTTCCTCTTTTCATCTAAAGGCCAAATCCGTCCTTGTGTGTCAGAGAGAATGGGCCCACTCCTCTGCTTTACACATACTTTTTTAAAAATTTTTTTTAATTTTAAAGATAATAAAATTCAACAAAACAAGACAGAACAGAGCCAATCAAGAAAATGCAGCAAAATTGGTACAGGACTTCAAAGCAGTACTGGGAAAACAATAATAACTACCGTAATATGTCTTGTTACCTTCACAATAGCTGTGCATTCCATCAGGTATAGCAAAATCAAACCAAAACAAAGCACTATAAAACCAATCAAATCGGCATATTGAATAAAGCAAAAACAATTAATCAGAACAAAGCAAAACAGTAAAAACTATATTGGCCTTCAAAGATAGGATAGAAAGGAATCCTCCATATTTGCTGCATTGTGTGCTGTCAGCCTCCCAAGAGATGCTCAGACCTCTGGCCCCAGGCCTGCATAATCAACCAAATAATATGAGCATTTAGTTGCTTTAGGTACCTTACTTGCTAAGGACTCAGGCTGACCTCAGAACCGTCCCATTGTTGCTTGGGGTGAGGAGTGTTGGGATGGTAGGCTCAGGGAGGAGCTATCTGACTTTTTTCTCTCTGGCACATGCATGGCTTGCACAGTTTACAAGGAAAGCTGGCTGGTTGATATCTTGGTTGGTCCCCCAAGTCCCAGCATGGCCTGTTCAGGAAATGCTGACCTTTCTCTCCCTTAAGGACATGCTTTACAGAAATTCTTTAATGTGCCTGAGCTCGCTTGTTGGTTTCATGGGCAGAGCTGCCACCCAGAGCTCATAGGGACCTTTGTCCCTAAAGCGAGCACCAAACAAGGTCAGCAAGGGTAAGGGGTGGCTGCTTCCCGCTGGCCAGAGAAACACCTAAGATCCAGGTCTGCCCACATCACCAAGACCACAGCCTCATCAGGTCACTGAGGCCTTAGGGCTGTGGGTGAGGCCCTGTTGAAACCTCCCTGGTGGCACTGCTGAGGCCTGGCACCTCTGGTTCTCAGAACAGCTCCCAACACCCCCTACACACACATTCACCCTGAGACGAATAGGGGCAACTTACAGCTATCAGGCCAGGTGCTCACCCTCTATCTTGTGCTGCTGTGGTAACATTTGCTGAAAGACAACCCTGTGTGCTCCTGTCTCAGAAAATATTGACAGAAGGGTCAGGCAGGGCGCTTTTCCTGTCCTGCTGAGCCCAAGGCCTATCTGCCAAAATGAGAGGCAGGAAAGTGCACACCCTCGGCAGACCCTGGATGGCCCTGACACAGCTCTAAACAGGTCCTGTCAGTCCCTCAATGGAGGGACCTACCCCTGGGAACAGGGCACACACTACCAAAGACTCCTGCCACACTCAGGGCTTGAAGATATGGGCACCACCCCACTGCCTGAGATGCCCAAGGGCTGTGAGTGCCATGCCTCTGCTCATAGTGTTCCAGGCATCCTGTAGACCCCATGGAAGTGGGGAGGAGAGGAGAGGCCCTCTACTCTTCCAGGTGGCCCCTCCCCAGCTCTCTGGTGTCTGCGGTACTATCTCTGAGGGAAGGCCGAAGCCCTGATCAGGGCATGAGTTCTCCAGCTCACATCTCTCCCCACCACCTTGCACATGGCATGAACAATGCTTGGGGCCCCAGCCATCCAAAGCAGCCCCAAAGCAGGGGCTAATCCTGCAGCTTCGGGGATTCCTATTTCTAGCAGCAGCTCAATGGCCTAGGATCTCCCGCACAACCCCTTCTGGTCCTTTTTTCCTCACCCTTCCTGGACAGCATCATCTACTTTCAGAGCTTCAGTTTTCTCCCCTGGCAGTGGCAGCCCAAGTGGTCACCAGTTCCACTCATGGCCATCCCTCCTTGCCCCTCCAACTTGTCCTATTGTACTAGGCACACTGGGACCAGCGGCGGCTCCTCTTCCCTCCACATGCCCAGGCAGATTCAGTCCTACCAGTTCCACACAGCAAAGCCACCTGGATCGTGCCCTTTGTATCCCTGTGGTTTCTCCTTAGGTAGAACCCATGATTATTATGTCATAGGCTCCCAACTTATCCCTCGCCTGGGATCAACCACAGACTCCACAATCTACCCCTCACCCAAGATGGACTCCAGACTCCAAAACTGAAAAGTAAATCCCTCTTCCCTCATGCTTGCAGTTTAGACTTTCTAAAATTAAATCACTCCTCTGATTAAAAAATATTCAAGGCCCCTGTACCACCCTCCGCAACCTAAATCCAACCTTTTTTTAAAATCAACTTTTCCCACTGACACTCCAGCCATAAACCTTATACTTTGGCTATGTGGGCATACACACACGCATACACACACACACACACACACACACACACACACACACACACAGTAATTTCATTTGTCAAGAAAGTTTTGCTTTGCAAATGCAGAAATCTAATGAAAAATATCCTAAGTGAGCAATTCAAGTCATTTGCTCTTGAAACTGAGCTTCCCAGGGGGTTAATGGTAACAGATATGGTTGGATCCAGAGGCTCCAACATTGTAATAGATACCCCACCTCCCTGTCTTGGTGCCTCTCTCTATTCAGGAACAATCTTTTCAACTGATGGCAGGTACGACTATTGATGGCTCAGTTTTGTCAAGCTCTTGGACACTGGGACATTACAAACTAGTTAAAAAAAAAAACTCTATTAGTAGCCCACTAGGACTCTAACCAGCCTTGCCTGGGTCACCAGTCCACTCTGGAATCAGCACTCTGTTCAGGTTTCTGAGCACCCTGGATGATCAAGCCTTCATGCCTGCCCCACAGTGGAGAGGGGGGGTCACTGGGTGAAATTTGCCACAGAATTATAGCAAATGAAGGAAAGATGATCATTAAAAGAAAAGTGACAAAATAGACAAAGTACATATCATATGTCAACTTACATATTTCTGTCTAGCATGTCTGCAAATTTAATCCCCAGAGCAGACTTTAATGGGCTCTTTCTCATTTCCCTTTATATTATTTCCCATAAGAGTCAGCTAGATTTTATTGCAATGCCTTATAGTTCTATGATCAAATCCTCATTTCCTCAGTGAGCCTTGTGGGCAGGTGAAGAATGTGCTACTTCTTGCTCTGAGGCTGCCTTGACCACTGTGGCTTTACTTTGGGGAGGGCCCCATTTCAGAGTCTAGGTAGTCATTTTCCTGGCATTGAGACAAAATACTTGACCCTCACAATTTAAAGGAGGAGAGGTTCGTTTGGCTGACAATTTCAGGAGACTTAGTCCATGGTCAGCTGGCTCCAAGGCAGAAATTTCATGGTAGGTGGGTATGGAGGAAAGCTGCCCAACCCATGCCATCCAGGAAGCAGAAAGAGAGGAAGGTACCAAGGAAAGAGAGAATACTCTTCCAGGCCACATTCCTAGTGACTCATCTCTTGCAAATAGGTCCTACTTCCTAATAGCACATTCAGCTGTGAACTCACTGGGTTAACCCACAGGTAAGTACAGCGCCCCCATCATCTAATTGCATTGTGAATTTCCCAATTCTAAAAGCAGGAGACTAGCAGGGGATGTTTTTCTTCTAAAACCATAACATTCTGCCTCTGGCCCCCAAAAGATTCATGTCTATCTGTTTATGAAAAATGCATTTGGTCCATCTCCAAAATTTTTCAAAGTCTTAACTATGCTGCGTTGTTCAAAAATTTAACTCCAAAATTTCCTCTGAGACTCAAGGCAAACTCTTAGCTCTGAGCCTCTGTAAAAGTAAAAAAGAAAGCTACATTCTTACAGCATACAATGGCCCAGGGTAAACATTTCCATTTCAAAAGGAAAGAGTAGGAGGGATAGAAAGGAATCAGACCAAAAAACTAAATCCTGCAGCTCTATATTCCATGCTTGGAGATTATGATGCAATATGTGAGCTCCAAAAAGTATGAGTAGCCCTGACTTACGGCATTTTTAATTGGAGGCCATGGGGCCCCTCTTTGGGGTTGGTTCTATGCTCTGCCTGTGGCTTTCCACAGATCTTTCACATTCCTGGAATCTCCAAGTTCCTGGGGTCCCCTTTGTTGTACCTTTTTTTTCATTTTTGCAACATTACCCTCTCAGAAGCACATTGCCTGGCCTCTGAGGCCGTCCTCTGAAATCTGAGTGGAAGCCTTCTCAACCCCACAATGCTTGCATCCTGCATGCCTCTAAGAGCAACACCACATGGATATGTCCAGGACTTCTACCAACCAGAGCAGTTCCCAGGCCCTCTTGAACCATGATTACAGTGGTTTCTGATTATCTAAATGGCTGAACCTATGGAAATACTTTTTTAGGTGGACTTAATGAGTAGGGCTTGCCTCTCAAAGCCAACTTTTTTTAAAGTTTACTCTGTTATATCCTTGAATCTCTGATGAGTGGAGGCTTTCCTTTTCCTGAGATGCTCTCAAGCCATCTTTCCTACTTTTCTGGCACAAAAGACCTAGCTTCTTTTTAGTGTTGTTAATCTTTTTACCAATCACAATTTTTATGTTCCCAATTTAGACATTTTCTTTTTTGCTAAACTACAATATTTTTACTTCTTTCAGTTCTGCTTTTTACTTTAGATACTCTATAAAGCTGTCTGAAAACGAGTGGCAGAACCCATGCCCCAGCCTAAATATTGGGCTGTCTTGAAGTTTTCTCTTTAGATCACTGTTTTTAAACTCAGCCTCTTACAAAAGGACAAAATATAGACAAAATTTTGGTATATTTGATGGCCTCCAGTTGATTT